TGTGTTTTTTTTTTTTTTTTTTTTTTTGGTACCAGTGATTGAACTAGGGCCCTTGCGCTAGCAAGGCATGTGGCGGAACCACTGAGCCAAATCCCCGGCCCTAAAGTGTGGTTTTAAAGGCAAAAAGGCCAGGAGACAAGACTACAATGATACCAGACTAACACTGAAACCCAATCTGACTCTAACCCCTTTAAGTTTAAATATATGTACATTTCAACCTACCCATCCAAAATAGATTCTCGGCAGCAATACAAGTTATCAAACTTCTGTTTGGTAACAGAATCGTTGACATTCATTGCCGGAACACAGAGCTTCCCAGCTTTGGACAGCTGATATAGCCTAAAGGGAGAAGAGGCCACAAAAACAAACAAAAACCAGTGAGCTAGAAAAACATAATACATGGCAAAATTGGTTTTGTTCTTTTCAAATTCTATGCTGTCCTCCCCAGGTTTTATTAATGCCCAAGGATATTAGTAAACATCATTTCCTTGTCATCTCTCCTGACTTTTTTCATTTTCTTTTCCCTCTACCCTTTAATTTTGGAAGGAAAATAAAAAACCTTTCAGTTGAAGAACTTTACTTCTACTTCATAAAGGGGATATCATATCCTTAGGCCAGCATTCCTTCATCTTTAAACCCGTGCCTACTTCTGATAAAGACCAAATGACTCTGCTTTGGTGTGTATGAACAGGAAGCATGTGCAATGCACCCCCTAATTGAGAAACACTTCCAGGTATCTTTTTTTTAGGTATTTTTATCGAGCCAAGAATATTTTGCCCAGTTTTACTTTTTTGTATATAATATGTAGTTTTACAATTTTTTTTCATATTTCAAATACAATATTGGAACACAATACTGAGTTTTCCAAGATAACATTCATCCCTTACTCCCCTGGCCCAAAACACTATTTGAGAATTACTTGGTGAAGTAAATAGGAGAGAAAAATGTGTCAACTAGAACCTGAAAAGCTTTCTTCTAGGATCACCTAAAATTTTCAAAAGTAAACCTCAGTTTTAGCTAATGAAGATATTCCCATTTAGTCACTGCACATCTGAAACACGGCCCTGAAGCCTAACAGAGACCAGAAGAATTTGCTGAGGCAAGGACACAAGGGGCAGCTACTCCAGAATCTGTTACCTGTGAACACCAGTCACGCTCTCTTCCACAATGCCTCGGATCTTCTTAAACACGTTTGGATACTTCTTATAAACCCAGTGGGTTAAGTCTCCCCCATCATCCAGGATCTATAGAACAGCCAGAAGACTTCTATGGGCATTCAGGCTGCTAGAGCTGGGGGGAACTTTGAGCCCACTTTCTGTACTAGTAAGATAGCCCTGTGTGTTTTAGAAGAGCACTCCTTAGAGCTCCCTAGAACAGGCTTGGACAGTGGAAATACAGTCAAATTTGTTGGTATAAAAAGGTTAAAATGATTCCTAGGTTTGCTCTAGGCTACAATGAAGAGTATTAGGCTTGTTGCAGATTCATTTTTAGTCTTAAGTCTTGAATATAGAGTCCCTTTGAATGCAAAAACAAAACAAAATAAAACAAAACAAAAAAGAGCTGGGGCAGGCAGGAAGGAAAGAAACCAGAGAGATTCCTACACCAGGAGGGATCACATCATTTCCTTCTGTTTTGTTCTGCTGTTTGAGCCACATGTTCAGCTAGTATTACCCTTCCCCCACCTTTCCATTCAGTACTCAAACCCATTCTTTTTTTTTTTTTTTGGTGCTGGGGTATCAAACCCAGGGCCTTGCACATTTCTGGCCCATTTTTAATAGGTTTCAAGCTAAACAAAAGCTTTAGCAACAAAGTCAGTGTATAAGACCAAACATCCAAAAACATATTTAGGGAACCATGCTTTGAAAAAAGGAAATAAGTCTATAGTCAAAAATATAACATGGACATGCATTATTACCATGTTGGCCTGCCACCCATCCATGTTCACACAGCGGTCAATACACCACCAGAAATCATCTTCCGACTCTCCCTTCCAAGCAAACACTGCAACTCCTATAGAGACAGAAATAAATTAGCCAATTCTTCCTATGAGGAGTATCCTATGCCAGTAACAATTTCTGAGATCCATGTGGAGAGAAAAGGGCAAGAACCTATTCTAGAGAGGGAAAAACTTAAGTATTTATTCTCATTGGGCCAACTTTATACTTAAAACTCTACTCTAAGGAGATAAAATGAAGGGTGAATCAAGACAAAGTTGTTCTCGGAAGCATCATCATTATCATTATTATTGTTTTTTGGGGGTTTGAGATAGGGTCTTGCTATGTAGTTTAGACTGGCCTTGAGCTACTATGTAACCCAGGCTGGCCTCAAACTGGCAGTGATCCTCCAGCCTCAACCTCCCAAGAACTAGGATTATAGGTATGTGCCACCATACCTGGCTGGAGCATTATATATACGAACAAACTTCTTGAAACAACTTAAATGTTCAATATTAGGAAAATAATAAAGTAAAATCACATGGCACTGTATGAATAAGCAATACAAACAATGCTGTCAGTTTTCAGTGATATAAAAAATGACTACTGAAACAGTTATACAAATATTCCTTGTTAATGACCTGTGTTAATGACTGCCACTCAGATTTATGACCCATCTTTTTTTTTTTGGTACAGTCTGTATATCTAGTTTATAGAGCCCAAATGAATTTTTTGGTGCAGTACACCTTATTTATACAGCACTGTACTTTTTGATAGTTGTACTGTATAGTATAGTACCATAATTTTGTTATATATTACAGTACTGCATGTAAGAGTTATACAAATAAAAGCAAAGTCATCAAGTCAGAGTTTTCTCTGACCATTTCTTTGAGTATTATAACATACATACTACATACATCCTCATTTAGTGACCATTTCATTTAACAACTTACTTGCAAGAACTGAACTTGATTGTTAAATGAGGAATGTTTGTATATAGATTATAAGAGTATATACAGACTCAGATTTATTTCATCAATGTAGAACAGAAAAAAGGGAAAAATTTGTTAGATAGCTCTCTGTAATGGGATTATGGATTTTTTTAACTTCCTAAGATTTTTTTACAATAAACTCTTACCAGAAAAAACCAAGCAAGAAGGACAAAAGTATTTCTATAAAATTACTTTCTGAAAATCCTAGGAATATGAGGTTCTCAAAGAAACTCCATGATGACTTTCTTCTAAACAGTTTAGCAATAAAAATTATTTCATATTTGATTAAACTTACCAGTAGTGCATACATTTTCAGCAATATATTATCTATCTATGTATCTATCTATCTATCTATCTATCTATCTATCTATCTATCTATCTATCTAGTACCAGGGATCAAACCCGAGTCCTTGAGCTTGCAAGGCAGGCGGTGGCACCACTGAGCTAAATCACTGGCCTTGCATATTATCAATATAAAAGGCAGTGGTTACTTATGTTCTCTGAAAACTTGTAAGACCTGGTGAAAATAAACTAGGCGAGTTCATACACTTTAATATTCTTCATTTGACATTAGAACCGGGAATTTCCACAGGTCCTTGAATTCTTTTCAAAGATCATTTTTAATGACTAGACTACATAATATTCCATAATGGATACAGACTTGATTTTATTATCCATCCTCTCCCTGTTGATATCTTATTACACTCAAATTTTATAGTTCCTAAACATATATGACATTGTAATGACAATTCTGACACATAAAAACTATGTCTAGAGAATTCATTCCAGGCAAATGTAGTGGAAAAAACTGAGCTTACCAGCCTCAGCCAGTGCTGCAGCCACTTCATTCTGAGTTGAGTAGATGTTGCAAGCAGACCAGCGGCACTGAGCCCCCAGCGCACAAAGTGTCTCAATCAACACCTGTGTGGATGTGTAGGACACAGGGTAAGAAAGGGGAGGAGGAGGCTCAGAAAGAACACAACACCCAGAACTCTGCAGCAATAGGTGCTACACTGGGGAAGTCATAAAAGGGTAAAATCTGCTCAGGCATGGTGGTGAACGCTTGTCATCCCAGTGTTTTGAGAAGCTGAGGCAGAGAACTGTAATTCAATCCCAGCCTGGGCAATGTAGCATGACACTGTCTTAAAAGAAAAAAATTTAAAAAGGGCTGGGGATATAGCTTAGTGTGAAAGCCTTGGGTTCAATCCTTAGTACCACATACATAAAAAAGATAAATAAAAGTATACATTCAAGCAGAAAGGCATATTGGTATTTATACCCAAAGTCTTAATAACATTTTGGTAACAATATTTCAAATCTCCCGACATCAGATTTGCGACAGCTCACTGATTCAAAAACAAACTAACTAACCTATATTGTGGGAGATCCCACAGGGATCCCATTTAGTATTTAGCATTCCAAAGTTAGCTAGATAGGGAGGGAAAAGTAAGCTGGGAAAACAAAACAAAACAAAATGCCAAACCTGTTTCTTTCTTCCCTTTATTAGAAATCCCTCTACTTTCTTCCAACAAACTCACCGCTGTCTGGGCTGTGATGTGTGTACAGCCCACTATTTTAGCACCAGCCAAGGGCTTCTCCCCCTGAGCACGTTTCCTGAGTGAAATCAGAGCAGACATGTCTGTGAAAGAACAGAGCATTTGAGCTAGGACTGCACTAGCAGTACCATTCTTTCCTGCCCACCCACATCTAGGGCTGGATTGGGTCACTTGAGATACAGTGAAAAGAGCCTGGAAAACTCTAAGCACATTTTTTTTTGATGATCACTGGCTTCACCAGCAGAGTAACAGTGGAGAACTGTCATTCAACCATTTAGCATTTCTGTCTTTCTCTTCCGTTCTGCTTTATATACAGAGGACTATCGCTTCTCGGCCTTTTGGCTAAGATCAAGTGTAGTATATACAGAGGACTGAATAGTGAATGAAGTATAACTGACCCACATGGAGAGTAAGTCTCATCAGTCATTTGGGAGGAGAGGGAAATAGTTAACAACACCGGCTAATGGACTTTCATACATAATGATCAGACCAGGAAGAACTTTACCCCTAGCAGAAGCCATGTGCTACTGTTTTTCCTTGCACACTACCTACTGTGTCATTCTGTTTGGTTTCTCTACTCACTCTTAGTACATAGCAGCATGCCTTCAATGTGAAAGTAAAGAGACCCTCCAGGCAGTGGGGTGTCATAGACAAATTAAAATTTTAACTAATCGCCAGGAACTTTTATTCTGCTCTACAGAGGGTGCCCAGAACCAAACAAGACCCAAGGGCACCATATTCTAGCTTAGAACCTCCCCACACCAGCTGCTTCTGGGAATCTGGGCCTCTGGGACTGGCATTTTCAGTAAGATCCCACATAATTAACCACTATGTAGTAATCCAGGACTTGCTGACTCAGCAGTGTAGATCTTTGAAAATGGTGTCATGGGGGAGAAAGACAGAAACTACTCTGTGTAATTACCACATGCTGAGAACAGGAAGATGGAAAACAAGAGCAGGAGTCCTGAGGCTCAAGCTCCATACAGAGAAGCATTATCTGAAGGTCCAGGAAATCGTTTTTTCCCAGGACACTTTCAAGTCTTAAGCTGTGTGTGGATCCTGATGATCAGTAAGCGGGTTGCTTGTAGTCTTCATCCATTCCCTTTCTTTACCTTGCTCTGCGATCTCAATCTCCCGGCGTCCAAATTCTGCTTGCTTGATGTTCTTCACACAGAAATTGCTGCTGCCCTTGGAGTTGGTTTGCTGCTTCTCTCGGGGGGAAACTTCATCATCAGAGCTATCTGTGTAGGATGCAGCTAGAACCAGTAAAGAAACACAGATAGACAAGCTAATCTGGATGGCCCCCACCTCCACAGAGTACAGCCCCTGGGGGCTGTCATTTAAGTGAAGCGGACATTCTTAATTGGAGCTCTCTTTTACATAACTCTCAGTTCCATTCCTCCAGGGTCTAAGAGCTGGTATGACTGAAACAGTTGTGGATCTCTCAGAATTGCATTTTTAACCATTCTAACAATATTGTTGTACTTTTAGTGCCTGTGAAAGGAGCTGTGGACCCTAATCCTGTACCACCTGTAGTGATCCCAGTTAATAGAAGTTGGTTCCAATCTGGATTTGAACCAGACCTGACAAAAAATGGAAGAACAATTTAGGGGAAATAAAGAATGCTGTTTCTATAGATCACTGGTTTTCATACTTAAGCATCTGTCAGAAGCCCACAGAAGGTTTAGAAAGACTGCTGGGCCTCACAGCTAAGGTTTCCCATTTGGTATCTCAAAATGTCTAAAACCTGCCATTTCTAACATGTTCTCACATGCTGCTGATGTTGCTGGTCAGAAGACTGTACCACTGATACAGTCTGATACAGATGAAAGTATCGAGTCTCACAAAGGGATTTTATACTGTGTTGTGCTTAAGGAACACAGAGAAGGAAAGAAATGACATAGAAAATGAGCAGATTTGATTCTGTCAGTAGCCTTGGGGAAGTCTGTCAAGAGGACTGACTTTAAGAGTTGTACATAAAACCTAAATATATCCTTCAGATAGACTGTAGGAAGGTATACAATTACTCTTTACCTTTCAAGTCACTTCTTCCCTCTCTGAATCGAGTGTTCCTCACCGCTGTTTCTGCCAGTGCATCGAGACCCTCTTACTGACTTCTATACACAGGTGCTCTAAAGGACAGAAGTCCAGTGAACACAAGTATCACTAAAGGTTATTTTCTCTACTGTGACAATTTAACTGTGTCAGTAAGCTTTCTAAAATGCTCTAATAGGTTTCTATAACATGACTATCAAGATCTTTGAAGACCTCTTCACTCATTCTAGCTTCCTCTTATAACTTAAATCTTTCAAAATAATTTGCCTTCTGTCTCAGCTATAATTAGACTGTTGGTTACCTACTCCCTTTTTATCTGTCACCCCAAGATACTTTCTCATTTATGATAACCATTATATTTAAAACTGCTTTTTGAATATTATGTCACCTGTGAATCCATATATTCATTTATTTCAATAGTTAATACTATATACCTCTATTTGTTCTTGTCTGCCTATCTTGTCTATATAGGGTTACCAATGGCACAAGGCAGAGGTAAATTTTAAATTTTTGTTTGTTTGCTTTCATTCCTTATCCCTCAAGCCCACCTTTTAATGTTAATAACACAACGCGAACAGTATTGTGGCAAAAGACAACAAATGGCTTTTGGTACACCCAAGTCTCTTTGCTAATATTAATGGCAACCTGTGACCATGGGCATGTTTCTTAATCTTCTAACAATGAAATCTTCAGGTGAACAAAGGAGTTATATTAGATGCTCCTAATGTTTCCTCTAGTATTCAATTCTAAGGTTCAATATCTTTTTCCATACTCATTTTCTAATAACCTCTCTGCATAATTCAATCAGAAAAAGACTACTTATTATAGACAGCTAAGACAGGAGGGGAAAACTGAAAACAAACAGTGCTGGAGTCATACTGTAGTAGTTTGCATTTTTCTCACTCCAGAGGTTACAGGGAGAAAACTTCAACATAAGCAGTAATCTAGAACATAAAAGGAGCTGAATACTAATTTTTATTATTCTATTTTTATTTATTATTTATTTATTCTTCTAATTCAAGTGGCCTTTGAGATAAGAAGAAAAAAATAGGTGGCAGGGTGTATTTTATGCTTCAAACATAAATTATGCTTAAAACACTTCTTTTTCAAGGCCAGTTCTGTCAGTTAAAATTGTCTCTCCCTGTGAAATGTGGTCAGATAAATGTGGGGATAGGAATTAGCCTGGTACTACCAACTGGGCACTGGCCATGGACCACACCCAGAGGCAGTCAAGGAAAGAGTCTCATGACAAAAGCTTCTCTAGCTTCAAGCCTGGTTGGACACATTCCCATTGCCCAATCACTAATTAATAGCTGACAACTAGTTTTGATATGAGCTATTTTCAGCTTCCAATGAAGAATACCAGGTAGTGAACAGGAAAGGAGATCAGAGGACATGAAGCTCACAGTACCTGAACTGTAGCTGTCAGTGGAAGACTGTGAGATGGAACGCGACAAAGATCTTCGGCCAGTCTTAGTTGGGAATTTTGTGAACTCTTGCATGTCATCAGCAAATTGGATTTGCTGTAAGAGAAGGACAAAAAGTTGAAAACTTATAATACTATGAAATACTCAATTTTTAAAGCCATCATCTTCCTTAATAGCCAACATATGTGGCTTCTACTAAGCCAGTAAGTCTCCCACCAGATATGAGAGAGGGCAGAGGTTGCTTTCAGACTTCTGAATGCCAGTTACTCCCTCTTTCCAACTGTTGCAGCAGCATTTGAGGCTGGGAGCAGGGGGAGCTTAAGAGCCAACTTCTTTTAATGTGTCCAATTTTACAAGTCTTTTTCCATCCCATTAAATTTTCTTCCCTCTTATAACCTTGATAAACACACTACACCCTTTTTCCCAATGCCATCAGAAAACAGATATGATCTCACAGTTCTTCTGGTTTGTCTTTCCTGCATGTTCTCTTGTAGTAATAAAGAGAATTTCTGTAAATAGTCTGAAACCTAAAAAATGTTAAGGAAATAAATACAAAATAACTGCTGTTTTTCGCTTCTGTAATTTGGTTTTGCTTGTTTCTTAGGACAATACTAGAGGTTTCATCATTAACTACAAAGCTTGAAGGCACATAGCCCCAGTTTAAAACATTATAGGATTAACAGATGCTGGAGGTGCTTAGCCAAATCCCCAGTGTAAGACCAGATGTTTAAACTAAGATAACAATCGCCATACATTACAAGCAAAGTGCACTTACACACTAAACCCTAAATTTTCTGTAAATCATATGACTACATATAAAGAGTTAAGATGGAAGGAATGTCACCAGACCTGTTTTCCTAATCCTGACCCCTACTCTTGTGGACTAGAATAGCTAATTAGGCAAATCCTAAAGATAAACATCCTAACCACAAAGAAGGTGCTACATTTGGGTTAAAATTAAACTGTCTCCTGACCATGATTTGTGATGGGAACTGAGTGAACTGGAATGTCTTATCGAACTACCTAAAATGAGCTCATGATTGTAAAACTCCTATAAAAGGATTGTAACCCAGCCCAAGGTCAGTCATTTGGCACAGCCCTTGGTAAAGGCCGACCCTCTGCTAGCAAAGTCAACTTTTTTTTTTTAATCCTTTCTTGTGTCTCTGTGTGTCATTTACCAGTTCCTTCTGCAACAGTAGCACATTCTTATTCTGAAGTTTGCAGTGCTTTTGCTTTTTGAAAGATTTATGAAGTGAGGCCTAGAAATGGTGATGGGCATTAGGGTGTCAAAATTCAGAGCCCAGTCATAAGTCTATGCTTTGAAAAGCCAAAGGAATAGCCTGAGGACCTTCCATACCTAATAAAAATTTAAAATACCAGAATATACTGATGGAAGAGAAAATTTTAAAACATACACCCTAGTAAATTCTAACTAATCAGGATGAATTGGAAGGAAGAAAACAATGGTAAACTTTGTATTAAAAATTTCCTTAAATAAATCAGAACTAGATGTTTGAAGGATATTTGGAAGACTGCCTTTAATGAATAGCAAACAGCTTTCAATTAATATTATAGACAAATTAATGGATGGCTTTAAGGTGGACATACCGTATTTTATTACATGATTTAAATCTTCCTCCCGAACTCCTGTTTAGACTCTAATAGGCCCTTTCTTCAAAATCTAAAATAAACTTCACTTTCCTGAAATAAACAGGATGGTTTGAGACTCTGACTTGAAATTCTTGTAACAATCTGACTAACTGTGAAGAGGTTCCCATGGAGAATTCATTAAACTAAGCCTTTAGCAAGTAACTTCGCAAATGTACAGTATTACAGATTAAAATCTGCATAATGGAAGCAACATGGCTATAGCCACTTTCAAACCACAACAGTAAACCACACATTACAGTCATATGACCTTCCCTTCTTCTACAACAAGTACTCTTCAGCAGGGGTGGTACAAACCTGTAGTATAAGGATCAAGCTTAAGTGTACAACCTAGACATAGGCAATTAACATGAACAAACCAAAAACTTAATTGGCATGACTCCACAGGTCATAAAACAGCCATCAGGGGGCACTGATTTGTGCTTTCAGCTCTATCGAACATGGTTCACATCAGAAATGAAAGTGAGAGAATGCAGTTGAGCAGAAGGTACCTGGGTTTACTTCTGTTTAAGACTGAACTTTGTTCAATACATATAGCTGGGCAAGTTGTTTTCTTTTGGCTACTCTGTGAAATAAGGAGAGGGCATAGCTCATAGCCTGTTTTACTATGGCAAATCTAAGGACAAATCCTAAAGGCATAAAGGGAAAAGAGCTAAACATCCTGGCATCTAGGTCAGAATCTTATAAATCTAAGAAGGTATTCAATAAAAATTTGTAGTGAGTGAAATTTTCAAAATATTTTCTTGTGTAAGATCAAGCTTCAAAGATAAACAAAAATGAAGATTTGAGCTGAACCATATATATTGTACCAGTAGAATATAAGTATTTTTGTACATCCAAACCCACTTTTTTTGGGGTACCAGGTATCAAACTCAGGTCCTTGTGCTTGTGAGACAGGCGGCAGAACCACTGAGCCAAATCCCTGCCCCAACCCACTTTTGACATTCATTTTTTTTTTTTTTGGTACCAGGGATTGAACTTGGGTCTTTGCATTTGTGAGGCAGGAGGCGGAACCACTGAGCTAAATCCCTGGCCCTCCAAACCCACTTTTCTAGATTAGGTGCTATAAATATCAAAGAGGAAAATAACAAAAAATCAATGTATGGAGATGGCCACAGGTTAGCATTTGCTCTTTTAGACAGGATTACCCACTGCATGTTCACATGACTTATGCAGTCAGTAAAAGCTGGTTTTACTGAAGAGACTAATCCAGGGCCAAGGTAATGACTTCAACCCAGTGTGCAGTCATTTTGCTGATGGACAATATAATCAGCCAAGAGACCATCAGTGCCTCTTCAGTCTCCAGTGGCAGCTCCTCCTCTATCAGCCTCTCTACTGAGTCATGGGAAGCCTGTTCAGCTCTCCTCTCCTGGCTTTTATGATTCCTTTTCCTATTTATCTTTTTTTTCCCCCAGAAGGCTATGGGCACATTCCCAAATACCACCTACATGGGGGTGTGGTGTGGGAGGTAAGTACAATAACATTTGCAAATTTTTAATAAAAGATATACAGAGATGACTGTAGCGAGCTGCAAATATTTCTTAATCTAAGAACTAATATTCATAATCTCCCTCCATATTAATAAAGATCACCAGTAGCCTCAAGTTTAGCAAAATCTTTCCCATCTAAAAATATCAGACTGTATGGCAAGCAGCTTACAAACCAGTGCTGTGCCCGCACCACTGTATCCCCCCATGGCTGATGGTCCACATCTGAAGTGGGCAGAATGTTAGCTCAAGCCAAGACGTGGGTGGGTGGCTGTCTATTCTTGTAGTTCATTGATATTCTCACTTCTGTAAGGTGGCTAGACAATATACAAATGTACAATAATCTTGTCTTTCCTCTCAACCCAAACTATGCTGTAGAGAACCTGAATTACAGCTAATGCTGTGGAATATGTCTACTCTTGTTTATTCCAGGCCAACTGGCTCCACTGGTTGTCTGTTTCTCCCTTGGTGAACAACCTCCTGAAGCCACCTTTATATTGTAAATAAAAATACTGCTGCCCAAAGCGACATGTGGATGGAGGTCATTTCCCTCTCTAATGAAATGAGATCTCAATAACAACCTTTGACTCGGTGAGACTCACTGCATTTAAGCAAAATATGTCAATTTGGGAAAAAGCACATCAAAAGACAAATGCATGCCAGGGATTTAACTTAGTGGTTCCACCACCTGGCTTGCAAGCACAAGGTCCCAAGTTGGATCCCTGGCACGTGCGCGCACACACACACATGACAATTGCAAAGTTATGCTTTATGTTTTTTAGGCCTTGTTAATTTTTTTCCCCAGTATTGGGGACTGAACCTAGGGCCTCATGCAATGCATGCTAAAGCAAGCATGCTACCTCAATCATTAAGTCCTAGTTGGTATGCTTCAGTGTTTCTGCAAATGGGCAAAAAGAAGGGTAAGTAGATAAAAAGTGCCAAAAAGTATCTTTTGTTTTGTGACAGGGTCTCACTATATATATCAGGCTGGCCTTGAACTCACACGATCCTGCTTCAGCCTCCCAAGTGCTGGGATTGAAAGTGTGTGCCAATACACCCGGAAAAAAAATTACTTTAAAGTAAAAAGCCTTATGTTAACTATTTTGTACTTAGCTACCCACCATCTAGCCTTACCACAACTGAATAAGCACATTAACATTTACTCTTGAATTAATAGCACAGCTGAGAAAGAGTAGAAGGTCAGATGGACCCATTCTTCAAATAGCATAGCCAAATACAGAAATCTACTTGCTGTGTCTTAAAAATCCAATTAAATATCAGGCCAATTTAATGAGCTATTTTAAAGCACCTCTTCAAATAGCTTAGCAGGTATGATGGCTGACTTCCTTCTGTCTAATACTGAGGCGGGTAAACAAAAGCTCTACTAAATAAATCATTAGGTACTTGGCCTCTACCACCTAGTGGTAAGCCCAGTGACAGAGTGAACTGAAAGAGTTGTTATACAGAACTCACCAAGAAATAAAGATCACAGGCAATCCAATAATCTATAAGCCTCAAGAAAAAAATTGTTATAAATGACTTGTTTAGTTGATCCTAATAATTTTTACCAATGGAAGCTGAATTTACTTCTACAAACACACGGACTATATACTCAGATGTTAAAGCTTAGTTACATTCCTTCCCAGGCCTATCCAATTTTGCCTTCTCTTAAATTAGGATTAAACTACCAGAATTCTATGATCTACAACTTTTGAATGTTAATCAGGATAATACCCATTGTGCATTATATTCTTTTAATCAGCACATTTACTAGGCACCTCAGGTATCCAAAGCACTCCAGGAAAGATCAATGTGAGGAAATATGGTCCTTGATGTGGGGTTGGGGCTTTAGCTCAGTGGTACTGTCACCTGCCTTGCAAGTGCAAGGTCCCAAATTCAATCTCCAGTACCACAAAAAATGAGACAAAAAACCCCTAACCA